ATATATTAATAAATATTATTTTTAATATATATTATTTATATATTAATAAATATTACTTTATTGAATTTTTAATTTCTTTTAGTTTCTTTTTTATTGGATTAATTTTTTTAGTTTCTTTTAGTTAATTAAATGATATTTAATAATATATAAATGTTATATATTAAAAATAATATTTATTAATATACAATAATCCAATAAAAAAGAAATTTAAAAAGAATTATTTAAAAGAAATTAATAATCCAATAAGATAATATTTATTAATATATAAATATTATATATTAAAAATAATATTTATTAATATATAATACTCCAATAAAAAAAATTAAAGAAAAAGAAATAATTAAAAGAATTAATGTATAATAGTTCAATAAAATTAAAAAGAAGAGTTGCAGAAGTGGTCCTTGTAGTTTGGTTGCAGAAATGATCCCCGAGGGTAAAATTATCATTTTAAAAAAGTCAACAGCCAAACTTATAAAAGTTAACGTTTTTTTAACCAAAAACGCACAAGGTATCCAAAATTGGACCACTGATGCACCACCAAACTTTTTTTTGGACGAAAACCATATAATTTTGACAAACACAGGTACCATTTTTGCAATTTTGTTAAAAAAAAAAAACTTGTAAAATTCCGGTTTGAAAATCTTAAGGGTTTATATGTTATAAACTTATAATATCCCTTATTTTTATTACTTTGTACTATTATTAATTTCTTATCACCCTACAACTATGTTCTCTCATTCAGGGTGCGTACAAGTTCTGGAACATTTCTAGCCCGAGAACTCGATGAAACAGTCACTGCCATTGAAAAAAGAATTGCAGATTTTACCTTTTTGCCCGTTGGTATGTACACGCCTTTAAATTATTTATACAACAACACAGATGTTCGCTCAATTTTTCAAAAACTAATCCACTTTTTATGTATAGAAAATGGTGAAGGACTTCAAGTTTTACATTATGAAGTTGGCCAGAAGTATGAACCTCACTATGACTACTTTCTTGATCAGTTTAATGCAAAAAATGGTGGTCAACGAATGGCTACAGTTCTCATGTACCTGTAAGTTATTACCTAAATTTATGAAAGAAAAAAAAATTTCAAAATTGGTCCCTGTGGTTTACAAGAAGTCATGCGTTCAGTCCCCATTTTTTGTTTGACGTGGATGGTAGATGCGGTTTCAATTCTTGCGTGGGTGGTCTTTGACACATGCAAAATTTCATTTGTACCCTTTTTAATTTATTTTAGATTTTATTTTACAAGTGAACAACAGGATCATCCGCATAAAAAAAAGATATGTATCGAATGCGTGACTTTTTGTAAACCACAGGGACGAATCTTGAAATTTTGTCTATTTTTAGTTATTGTGAGGACCTCCACAAGGACCATTGGCGTAAAAAAAAGATAGGGACCGAACGCGTGACTTTTTGTAAACCAGGGACCAATCGTGAAATTTTGTCTATTTTTAATTATTGTGTGGACCAACCACACACGAAATTAAACTATAGGGACCATTCACGTAAAAATGATAGGGACTGAAAGCGTGATTTTTTGTAAGCCACAAGACCAATCGTGAAATTTTGTCAACCATACAAGAAATTGAAACCACAGAGACCATTCACGTAAAACAAAAAAGATAGGGACCGAATGCATGACTTTTTGTAAACCAGGGACCAATTTTGAAATTTTGTCTGTTTTTAATTATTGTGTGGACCAATCACACACGAAATTAAACTACAGGGACCATTCACGTAAAAATGATAGGGATTGAAACCGTGATTTTTTGTAAAACACAAGACCAATTGTGAAATTTTGTCAACCTTACAAGAAATTGAAAACACACACACCATTCGCGTAAAACAAAAAAGATAGGGACTGAACATGCGACTTTTTATAAACCATAGGGACCATCATGAAATTTTGTCTAGTTTTAATTATTGTTTGGACCACCCACACAAGACACAAGAAATTGAAACCACAAAGACCAATCCCTTTGAAAGAAGATAGGGACTGAATGCATGATTTTCTGTAAACCACAGGGACTAATTGTGAAATTTTGTTTATTTTTAATTATTGTTTACAGGTCAGATGTTGAAGAAGGAGGTGAGACGGTTTTCCCTGCTGCAAAGGGCAACATTAGTGCTGTGTCATGGTGGAATGAACTGTCTGAATGTGGGAAAGAAGGGTTATCTGTTAAGCCAAAAATGGGGGATGCGTTGCTCTTTTGGAGCATGAGACCCGATGCATCTCTAGATTCTTCAAGTTTGCATGGTTAGTAAATCTTGAATTTTGAATTTAAATTTTGGTGAATAATTTGTTAAAGGTCTTTGATGTGGTTTCTCTTGCTTTGTGTGTATGTTTTTTTTTTGTTACATAGGTGGATGCCCTGTTATTAAAGGGAACAAATGGTCGTCTACAAAATGGATTCATGTTGAGGAGTATATGGTTTAATTTTGGTTCGGTTTGTTAGTAGCAATACTTGAATTTATAACAATGGTGGTTTGCTAAATGTTGAAGAAATAGAATCTATAGAAAGAATTGAATATGAAGGAATTGTGACTTGGTTAGTTGGATATGAAATTGAATTTAATTTAATTTATAACTAATGCTTATGTTTTTTTTTCTTTTGTATGTATATGTTTGTGTGTGTGTGTGTATACAAAATTAGAATTGTAGGTCTCTTTAGTGACTTACAAGTAAAGTGAAGGGGTGTTAAGTGAAAGGTAAAGGAAGTCAAAAGTAATTTTGACTTGGTCCGTTAAAAAGGGGTAAATGAGTTTAGAAATATTACTTTCATTCTAGTTTCTTTGTTTTTTATGTTCTTGTATGGTGTCACGAATCAAGGGATAATAGAAGCCATCTTTTACTCTCTTTTTGTTTTTCATTTCACGAACAGTTTATCACCCAATTTAGCACAACAAATTGGTATCAGAGCCTTAGAAAACGAAATAATCGACCTTATTTCCTGTGTTTTTTCTTTATGATCAATTAAGTAGACAACAACATCCAATTCAACGTGCGTTTTTTTATAGAGGAAAGATCTAAGTTTCAATCGGGTTACAAAGGGAAATTCATTTAGGTTTCTTTTGGTTTTTGAAGTTGATTTGGGGATCCCTTCGTAAACAAAGAGGGCTGGCTGCCATTTTCAAAGGGATCATTAAAGAGCGAATGGTTTTAATTAAGGTGGATTTTCAAAGGGATCATTAAAGAGCGAATGGTTTTAATTAAGGTGGCGATCCATTCGGTTTACACTTGATTTTTTGTCAATAGATAAATGAGTATTTTTGTTTGTTTTTTAGAGGGATTTACTTGCACCACTACAACGCAAATGGTCTCGAGGTTGGATTTCATGCCGCTGAAATATATGTCGGATGTTGGAAAAAATCTGGTTTCTACCCAGGCTACTTTGGTGAAAAGGTTTTGGCGCCTTGCTAAAATGTCAGACACCTTTGTAATATCAAACAATCTGGTTTCTTGAAAACAAACCGATGCCTTTTCTATTAAATTTTAAATCGGATCATTTATTTGATTAAACATTTCAAACTTTATGGTCAACCGAAATGTTTAACAACTAATAAGTTTCTATTTTTAGTTAAAAATTGAAAAACTTATTAAATTTAATGATTTAAACTATTTCCATAATCGAATCAGTTTAAATAAACATAATTTTTTGAAATATTAACTTCTATATTTTACATATAAGAAAAACACAATTTTAAATTGTATAACTGTAAAAGTTAAATATTTATAATTAGGAGTGTAAACAAATCGAACATTAGCCTAATGAGGTTCAATCTCGGTTAGTGAAATGTTTGAAAGGTTTGAGCTCAGCTCAAGCTCGACTCTTTTATTTAGCAAAACCGAAAAAAACAAACAAAAGCTAGGCCCGCATTTGCCAGAACTCATTTTATAAAATTTTAAACTTTTAAACAATATAAACAATTTCTTTCCATTTTCTAAAAAAGTTGGAACCTTCTCTGAATTTAAAGAATACAATACCCACCCTAAACCTATCGATGGCTATAAGGTATAGTCACCACCTCATTATTCTACATCGGTCTGTCACCTTAGCACAACATTATTTTTCACTGCAAACCACTTCACACCACTTCCTAGGGTGTGATCATCACTTTTTAGCACACTAAATATATTAATTTCTTTAATACAAATATTATTTACTAAATAAATATAAATATAAGATTAATTAAAATTAAAAACATTTTATTAGTTAATTAAAATTATAATTACATAATAAAAATAATAAAAATTACATCTACTCATCATTATCATCGTTGGTTGTTGATGGTTGTTTAAATGTTCGATCAAATCATGGTGAATGTTATGCATATCTTAGCTTTTAAATTTATATTAATCCTGGTAAACATTGTTGGTACTTGAAGTGGTGGAAGTGGATCTTCTACGGTATACATATAAATGACTTGATGTTTGTCCTCTAGTATCATGTTATGTAATATGATCAAGTGTACGTTTTGTCCTTTGTTTTTGTCAGATCTCATGCTCGTGGCAACTTTTAAACTATATGCCAAACGAATCTTAAGAACTCCAAATGCCTAGTCTACATCTTTTTTGCCGATTCTTGCGCCAGAAAAAAAATCATTTTCATCTTCAGAAAACGTAAAAGATGTGATTATTGCAGAACACTATTGATATATCCCATTAATACTTGGGTGCATTTTATGCGATTCATGAAGAGCATCGAGATCATCGTTGGACCAAACAACACCAAAAAAAAAATGCATGCCAAATTCATAGATCGAATGACGTCGCTGCTTATAGTATATTGTCGGGACTCCATGATCACCTCACATTTATTGACATTACCAGGAATTTGGTGTAAGTTTACCCACTCTCAATGCATATATTCAAAGCTTCAAAGAATTCCACGGAAGCCGTGTTCAGCATCATGCATATATATTATATATAATATATTATATATATATATATATATATATATATATATAATATATATATATATATATATATATAATATATATATATATATATATATATATATATATATATATATATATAAAGAGTCAGGTGGGTTAGGCGATCAATGAGTAAAACGCCCTAAAACAGCACTGTGGCTACAAAAGCGGGCTAAAACATGACTTTGCCTTTTTCTCCAGACTTTTTTTTTATTTCTGCATTTATTAGCATAATAACCTGTTTTTCCACATGAAAAGCAAGTAGGAGGTTTTTTATTTTCCTTTTTAATAAATTTCTTTTTTATGTGTTTATCTTTTCTATTAAAATCATTATGTTTTCTTTTATAAAATTTTTTCTTCTGTTGAAACTCTTTTTTCTGTTTCTTCTTATTTCTACTAGTCTCTATTCCGAACTGATCACAAAATTCTCCTAATTGTCTTTTTTCATTAAGATGTTGGGTTTTAATTTGATGGTTGAGTTTTATCTCACTACATAGGGCCAAACATTCCTGTATACAAGTTCCTATTAATTTTCCATATGTATAATCTTCGTAAGGAATTGTATTATCTATTCTTAGTTGGTTTTTAACTCTTTCAGCAAAAAGATTTGGCAAACCATCTATGAATTTGGATTTCCAATAAACACTATTACAATCATTAAGCTCCATTACTCTGCTTAAAAAAGTATCCTTATACCATCGAAAGGATGTAAGAGTTTTACAAAATAATCCATTTAATAAAGTACGAATGTTTTCAGAATTATCTGACCATCGTCCTGTAAAATGTTCTATTATAGTACAAGTAAGAGTATAAACCACATTGGGAGTAGTTATTCCATTTTTTGTTTTAACTGTATTAAGAATAACTTGTTGAGTTTTTTCATCGACATAGTTGTCCCACCAGCCTTTTAATTGGCCAGTAAATCCGGCAATTAGCATATTAGCTACTTGTTTATCACTATATCCTGTATTTTTAGCAATTGTGCTATACATTAACATTCTATGAATCATATTATATATTTGTCTTTCAGTATATCCATCTAGATTCCATTCATAAACACTTTTACCACTGTAACTACTATTAATTTCATATTCTTGTTCCTCGTGTAGGACATCTTGAGGGCTTGGTCTTGGATAATAATATAATCTTTGAACAGGCTTTCTAGCAAATTTACTGTCATAATTATTAATTTTATTTATTTGGGCATCATTTATATCTGAGTCATCATCCGAGTCTTTATTTATGGTATTAATATGTAATTTTTTCATTTGTTCTTGTATAATGTCTAGCATATAATCGTAATTTTTTAATTTATAGCCAGTAATATTTGGCGGTGGTTGAATAGTAGCATTTATTTGTTTTCCTTTGTCTTTTTTCTGTATTATTATCTCTTTTTGACTGTTTATTTTTTCTATTTTTTTATGTGAATCCATTAATTGTTCTCCTAATATTATAGAATATAAATTATGGAAATTTAATTGTTGAATCATACTGTTAATATGATTTACATCTACTGTAAGAGTCTTTTCTTTAAAAAGTTTTTGATAAGCCGAAAATTTTATAGTAACATTATTATTTGTGATTGTAAAAGGGACTTGAGGTGGAAATATACTTGTTATTATCTTGTCTCCTGATAGAGTATAATCTCTTTCTATGTTGTGAATATTATGTAAAAAAGTATAAGTAAACCAAGGAATAAAATGTGTAATCTGATTTATAGAGGATAAATATTCATAAAATTTATTTTGTATTTCTTGTAACTCCTCTTTAGAATAATTTTTAAATAACCATTCTTTAAAAAATGTCCATTTAGTTGAATAAAATTCTTCTGAAATAATTTTTCTTGCCTGAGAACCAGGGCTAAAATCTATTTTTTCTTTTAAATCCATTAAACTGTAAAATTCATTTCAGAAGGAGTAGATGCCTCCGCCTCATACACAATATCATCATGTATATTTAAATTGTTTATCTTTCTAAGATCAACAGAAGCACGAGTAGAGGGGACTTCTACCTTATAATCTAGTGGTGATATGTATGAATGTGAAGATCTTGCAGACCTTGTTCGTTTTATTAGGTCGTTTTCATACTCTGTTTCTTTGTTAAACTCAATAGTAACGACACCATCAGAAGTTTGTATAATACTTTCTATATTATTATTTATTAAAGGTGTGGGTGGTATATTATTTTCTAAAATCCAGTTTTGGGGAAATTTTATTTCATCCCATTTTATAGCTTTTCTAGTTGTAATTTTTGACATATCAAAATTACTTTCTATTAAAATTGTTTCATTTATAGGTTTATTAACTCTCTTACATTTAGGATTCATAGTTTTTAATGGTTTAAAATATATACGATAACATATACATATTACTTCTGATCCTGGTAAATAATTATAACCATGAGTTTTGACATTTAATGTTAAAGCTTGAAAAATATTTTTATCAGACAAAGAAAGTTGTAAATTTGGATAAACATTAAAATATACCGGTCCATGAGACAAACTAGATTCTATTATACCCATTAAAGATTGTTTCCAATTTTTATTTCTAGCATCCTTAAGAACTGCTAAAAAACTTTCAGGTAATCCCTGTAATGTTAATGGTTTAAAAGCAATTTGCACCAAACCAATATGCAACTA